GGTTGTTGTATGATGTTGTTGCCGTTCTGGCTTCTTCTCTCCCGCGATGATGAACGTCGGGGCTGCTCCTGGTGATGGCGGCTGCCCGCGACGATGCGGTCGATCGCGTACGAGAGGAAGGCGAGGTAGGCCAGCGCGTGCCGTCGCTGCCGGTCAAATTGCCAGGCGCCCTGAGTACACGCATACACACACACGCCCGCATGAACGCAGAAAACAGGTGGCGGGCATCGTCAGACTTCAAGACGAAGCGGGAATACAACGACAACAGAATTGCAACTGAGAAGCAATTAATTCGGTGGGGCAGAGAACAATCGGCAACATTAACTCCCCTCAAACAATATTCCCTGCAGAATTCCACAACCACTTTTGCTTGACTTCAAGCCGAAATCTTGTGCAGGCAAATTTCAAGGTTCAAACAATATGAAAGGATTGTAACAAAGTATCTCGTCCAACAAGAGTGATGTTCCTCTTCGCGTTTTCCAAGCCAGCTGTCCTAAAAAAATCGAGTGGCAGCAGTTTCTCCGGGGCTCGATTGAGTTGTTGTTGGGCATGAACGCCCCACGTAGGCAACTCTTAACAGAATATGTGATTGCGCACATTTGTTGGTACTCTGAAAAAAACGCACTTCCTCTCATACGGCGGTATGACAAACTGGTTACAGTGAAGAAGCCGACCAAGATGGCTCATGCACCAGCTGCAGATAATTTCCAACGCACACAACAGCATGTCTTGCTCCCTGTCCACGTCGCATTCCGAAACAAGAAGAAGATTCCAGACATACAACGACATCAGATATCAACAGCAGTTTCCAGCGCAGCAACACACCAAACCCCCAGCACTACCACCCCATCCACCCACACCTTGTCTGTTGCGCACTTCAACGCGAAGCGCGCTTCCTGCCCGAGAAACGTCGCCAGCAGGCCCCCCCCGGAGGGGGCGCCGGGCAACGCCCCCTCGGCCTCTTCGAAGTCGGCCTCCTCGGTCGCGGTCGTGTCTTCGTGCTCTTGCTCCAAATCCTCGTCCGAATCCTCCACTGCCGCCGCTTTGTCGTCTTCTCGGACACACCCATCGTTCCACTCCGTCACGGCGCGACCCCATGCCTCCCAATCGTACAAGCCGCGGTGGTTGTTGTCCGATGACGACGAAGGCGGCTCCTCCGATTGTCTCCTCGCTGCCGCGGTCGGCCCGGTGACGCTGCTGGGAGCGGTGACCAGGCGCACTTGGCAGACGAAGCGGCGGTAGCACCACAGGCTCTCGTGGCCAGGGTAGTCTCGGAGGAGCTTGGAGTTGGCCGATCGCTCCTTGTCCACGAGGCCAAGCCTTGCCATCTCGTCCGACGCTAGGGGGTGGGCAACGAGAGAACGCGCCGAAGAGTAGACGTCGGGAGCGGGATTGGGGGGGCAGGGAGGGCAGACAGACAGATAGACCAGACAGAGCGAGAGAGACCGAGAGGGACAGCGGCATTCAAGGGGGTGCAAGAGGGAGGGGGAGGAATAGGGAGGTGGGTAAATACGGAGAGAAGGCGAAGGCGTGTGGTGGTAGATAACACGGGGTAGGCCTTGATGTCCACGAGAAACAAACTGTGGTTTTACTTCCTCATGTCACCGCAAAGATGCGCGCATCTGTCGTTAGTTGGGCGTGGCGCGGTCGACGTTGTCCAAGGATAGAGGGAGCTCAAAGAACAAATCACGACAAGTTCTACACATGGGACGACTTCAGTGTGGCACGACGAGAAACGAGAGATGCCAAAAAGCGGTCGTGATGATGGCCAGCGTAAACGTTTGCCGCGATGCGATGCGGAAACACGGTATGCACATGCACACGACCCTGCAGCAGTAGCCCCGTCATCACGGGCGACCTAGGGTGTTTGCTGGACCCATGCACCCAGGAACAAAACACCATCTTGAACGAACTCAAGGCGAACACGACGATCCTTGGTTGTGCGAGCACTTGTCCCCGCGCACACCAGCGTTCCCAGGCAGGACCATTCAAAACAGCCCCCGAGCCGTCGTGCACCTGCGTCTATAGTCCTCACCTGGCGACATGGCCGCTAGCGCAGAAAAAACGTTCTTGCGGTGGTTCAGGGCGGAGTGGTCCGAAACGTGGCTCGTCAGCCACCTGTCCACAAACTCGATCTCCCTTTCGAGCTGCGAAGGCCGGCCATTTGGGGTACACCGGGCGAACATGCCAAGTGGGAGAGAGAGCGAAACCAGCGTGAAGACGTTCGTTGCTCGCCGTTAGGAGAACGTACGACGCATGTCATTCGCGCCTCGTGCTTCTACCTTGATCCCCCCAAGACCAACACAACTCTACTGCCGTATGGCGCTATGCAGACGAAAATCCGGGGTCACACAAATAACTGGTTACACCCTGCGAGGTCATTTCCACGGGCCGCTTGAGCTAGGGGCGCGACAAACCACGGATCATTCCGCGACCTGTCTTTGCAAGACGCGAAGCGCCAATCGAGTCAAGTCCACTTCTTACTCCGAATTCCTGAACACCATGCTCTTCTACTCGGTAGTCTAGTGCTGTTCAGTCTCTGGGTGTTGATTGCCCGTGGTTCTTGGAAGACGCACGCGTCCCGCAAATTTGGATGTGGCGTGACGCCAATCACAGCCATACTCACCAGCTCTGCAGCCGCTGGTGCGGTAGGCGTGTCCTTTCCTGGCGAACCCTCCTGCCCAGCGCCGGCCTCAGCTCTAGCACCTCCCACGGCACGAAGCACCACCCAGCTTCGCTGCGTCCAGGCGTAGTAGTTCTTTGGGTAAAGCTCGGCGACCCGTTGGCACACCTGAGATTATACGAAATGTGCGTTCCAAGAACGTGAGCAGCTTAGCGTCAGTCCCTCTCCCACGACAGCGGTACGTGTTGCTGATACTGCCATGTAGCGGACAGCAAGATGCCATGCATGCCAGATTCATGTCGACAACTTCGCCGAAGGAGATGGGAATCAGAAACCGTTCAGTCCCCCAGGTGTCATCCTTTGTAGCGTCTGGCATGGGCGAGTAAAACTTAACGCAAAGGCAACGCAAAGGGAGCACAAGCACACGCTCCACATAGGCTTAACCAGTAGCGGGGAGAAAAGACCTAATGAAACTACGCTTGAGCGACACTACGGTACAGCGGCCAACCGTTCCCAGGCTTGGCAAACAAGAACGGGTTTGCTGCATACTTGCCTCACAATGATTGCGCCGTGTGAAAAGGCAAGATCCGGCGAAAGGATGTGGTACGAACGAACGAGTGCCCTCTCTCCGCGCAGGATTGTTGACGGTACCAGTATACGTGGCAAGCTCGTGCTGGCTCAAGCCATAACCGGGAGTAATACGCAATTTCAATCAAAATAACGCTGAGGTCACCTCACGTTCAACTCCTCTTGTACATCGAGCTGGTGCCAGGTGCTTCCCGCATGCCTGGCTCGAAACCTCTCGTTGTTCCTCCAACACCATCGTCGGTGAGCCCACGCGTTCGGGCTCTTGGCGTGTTTGGTGAAGATCAAATTCAGTAGCTGCGCAGCAGGTATCACCGCAGTAAGTGGGGATAGCGTGGGGAGGAGCAAGCTGAAATGGTATGAACGGGATTCGTCATATTTCTTCCCTGGAAGATGAAATGGCGGTTGCTGCCCGTGTGAGTGGAGGACAACACGATCGTTTGCTGGGGTTAAACAGATATGCAGCTTTCTCGAGTAGCAGAAAACACGCGTTAACATTTGTCCATGGACCAAGCGCGCGTTCGTTCTTCAGCAGCTACGCTGCCATGCAATCAAGCACAAAGGCAGACGACAGTCACCGACGGGCCTGTGAGCAAACCTAGCCACCGACGACCAAACCAGCCCCCACACGCAAACCTCTAACAGTAGGCGGTCAAGCGTCTGACCGACCTTGACCTCCTGCGGGATAGAGCTCCCCTCGCACAACCCATCCACGACCAGCTGCTTCCTCGTGTTCCACGCAGACGCGTGGTCCGCGTTCACCAACAGCAAGGCCCGAGTAACGGACAAGAGGGTCCCCGCGGCGACGGCAAGATCAGAAAGGGCGCCACCCCGACCTTCTTTCGGCTTCGCACTCTCTTCGCTTGGCATCCGTTCACGCGACGAGTGCGCTTGTCTCAGCCGACGGTATTCCCGGCGGGTGACAGGAAATGCTCCCCGTGCTTCGTTGATGAGGGGGTGGATGCTGTGCACGGACACCCCCAGCTTGTGCTCTTGGAGGATGAACTGTGGCTCCGGGGCTACATCAGCCGAAGACAGCGTCGTTTCTTCGGAACAGGCTGCGTCTGCTGGTGGACCAGCGGGAGTTGGTGGTGGTGGGACACTAAAGATAATGCCTAGTTCTTCACTGAAGGCAGACCAGAAACCACCACGCGGCAAGGGGTAGGGGCGAGAGGGGAGTTGTGGGCGGTAGGTATTGCTGCGGCTCGCTCGCCGTGCAGCAGGTCAGGTTGTAAAATCTGGCGGAGTTTCGTACATTTTCACAACAATCACTTGCCAGTGACAGAGAAAGGACGGGGTGTAACAACAATCCAACAATGGCGGGCGGCATAATCTACAGTAGTTGTGCTGCACTACCAAGTCCATGCGTAAAAAATTACCGCAATGGCAGAGTAGATCGGAGGTGCCTGTCGGCGTGGCCAATGTTCGACATACACTCGGTGGTATCTGTGTGTAGGTGTCCGTTCAGTCCCTCTCGATCAAGCACGTTGACACTGACAGCTATGAGTTTCCCCTCACATGTCAGGATCCTGCCGAAAGAGCTCGTCCAACTCTTGTATCAATGGGAACTCTTGCATGTCGTTGCGTACTAGTGCTGTGTCGACAATGTTGGTGCTGGGTGTGCTGTGCTGGTGTGACTGGGTGCTTCGCGGAACAACTGCTGGACTGCTGTGGAGCACCGGGAGGTCCGTGCATGATAATGGAGGTCTCCACCCTCTCCGTACAACGACAAATGATCATCGCGGGCCTCCCATGATCTGCGCCGCCGCCATCTGGAGACTTGCCGCACACACACAGCAGTCAGTGGGCCCATCTCTCACTTGCGCTCGCGACGTGTCTTCACTTGAAACCTTGGCGTGTAGTGTCATTGCTCACTGCTGTGTCGAAGTATCAAGTCAAGCCCAGCCCTTAAATCTACGACAAGACATTTGAATCGAGTCCTCCGCAGCTAAATAGCTGTGCTTCAGCAGTAGTAGAGCGGGGTGCCACCTCTTCAAGGACTGCTGCTGCGATGACGATGCGAGCACCACCTTGCTCGCCAGCCCTGCTACGATTTGTCGCATTGGTCCTGGCAACGCTCACAGTTATCCCCAGCAGTCTTGCCTTCGTTGCAACGTCCTCCGGGAGGCTGAGCTTTAAAACGCAACCGCGATGCGGCGGCAGCAGCGTCATGTTTTCGAGAGCGAGGCGACCATCTAGCAATGCCAACCGCCGACCGGTGGGTGGTAGTAGCGTTGGCGGGAGCGTGAGGGGAGGGACAACCGCGACCAGGTTGATAATGGGGGCTGGCAATATATCGGAGGACGCTGACGGAGAAGAGTCCTCAGGTACAATGATGATCTACTGTAGTTTGCTAGTTGCAGTGTTCATGTGCAGTGCACCGTAACAGCGGCGGGATGTCGGGCAGAGGTGACACGGGATGTCGGGCAGAGGTGACAGCCTGCATGGACGTCGCATAGACGTCCAGCAGCAAGTACTGCTGTAGATCGTATTAATAGTGCTATTTTGCTATACATACAAGTGCTAATGTGTTCGAAAAATTCGCTGGGCCGAGGTTCTTTGAAATCGTCGAAATACACCCGAGGCGCTACTGCTGTCCCTCACCTCTGGTTCAGCCAGCATTCATTTCGTGCTCTCGCACGACCCTCAACCACGCTAGTAGACGCTGGGCGCACTTCTGGCGGTGAGGTCGAGGTCTACGGACTGGGGTCGCGAAAGCCGCCAGCACGACCTCTCGTTGTTAATCTATTTCAATTTTTATGTATGGTCGGACTTCTACACGGTGGTCTGGCGGCTTTCGCCGCCCGTTCAATGATCGATTCCAAGATACGCCATCAGTGGTACTCTTAACATTCGTGGCAGTTAACACATAATGGATCGGTCCAGAGAGAGAGGGCGTACAGCAGTATGCGTACCCGATTCGTGTTATACAGCAAGATACTATACTTCAGGTATCTTGAATGAGCACCTGTTATGATGGCCAGGTTCTAACTCGATGTTGGATTGTTTCCGACTCAACTGTCGCGCTCTGTATGTATAGCATAGATCAAAACCATCAGAGTCTGTCGTCGTCAGTGTCTACGCAACGGTATTATCGTCGCGTCACAATATACCAGACACCATCCTTGTTCTTTCATCACACGACGACACTCCCGTTGTTGTTGTCGTTGGTGGTGGTGGTGTCACAGCAGCAGTAGTGCTGCCGTGCGGCTCCGAAGTCATGCGCGTGATTCGGTAGTGTGCTGATCTCTCTGATGCAAGACAAATCGCCTGAACAATCGTAACTTTGAGGTGGTGGACAATTTACCCAAAATGAACTTTTCGGCGCCAGTGATGTCTATGCGCTCCTGGCGGACCGGCAACCGCAGAACTGCTGTCCCTCGTCACGACTCTGAATCAGAGCTGCTATCATACCCGCAAACCTAAACAACGAACCAAGAATGATGTCTCGTGGCTTCCTTGTGATCCACTTTGGAATCTCTGGTACCCCTCATGCGCACCCGCTCGCTTCTTAAGGGTTGACATGACGGGGCACGTTGCCCAAACCACCGCTCTAACGGCAGCGTATCTTAACGTGTTATGCTGCTGGGGGGGCCGTGCGCATTTTGCGATATGGTTGTGTGCCGCTGCTGTGTGAAAAAGACTACTCGGCATGGCCAGCGATCAACCGCAAGGCGATCGGGGCGTTGGCCAGCGTCGGGGCCCTCGAGTCGGCGTACCTCACGTACCAGAAGATCCACCCGGCAGGGCTCGACCTCCTGTGCGGGGCCAGCGGAGGCTGCCTCGATGTCCTCAACGGACCGTACTCGAACGTGTTGGTGAGAGGGCCCGCGATGGAAGTGCCGCTTGTAGAAGTTTTTTTCTTGTTTGTGTGCGTGAATCGCCCGCCCGCGCCCCCGCGCTGACAGGCGAGAAACACGACGTACTGTTCTTCCCATTTTTTATCGCGACACGAGGGTGTTGGGCCCTGAGAGTACGGCTATCGATGAGGACGAGGGACCGACCGTATCCCATGCCGTGCTTGGGCTTGGTTCGCTCTCGCCCCGCTCTGCTTGAGTGCAGCTTTGTGAAGCTTTTTCGTCGATTTTGTTTGGTGCTGGTGCTGTCGTTTATCGCCAATGGTGTTTCGGTCTGTCTGATCGGAATCGTTTCCCTCCAATCGTTGACCGTGATGGGCCACCCATCGGCACTTGGTTTTTCTGCATGCTCTCATCATTTCGCCGTTTCTTAATCTACCTTCTTCGTTCATGTGTTTACTTTTTCACGGAACGTGTGTTTTGTCGGTGTTTCGTCACCTCTTCCTTTTTCTCTCTTTTTCACGCTTGTCTCCGTTTATGAGTTTTTCCCCGTGTATGCCTCTTGAACTTCATTCCCCCTTTGCTGCGTTGCTCGTCGGCTGGTTGCTGTCTCGCGCCTCGTGCCCGTTCATGTCACTTGGCCCACAACTTCAACGAAATTTTCAATTTTCCCCATGTCGATTGAAAATTGGCATCTGCGATTTTTGTGCGATTTGGACTTAACGCTCTCCGCGCGCACGTGCAGGGCGTCCCGTTATCAGCATTCGGCACGCTGGGGTACCTGGCGGCGGCAGGGTTGGCCGTCGTTCCGCTGTTTGCCAAGGAAGAGTCCGCTTCAGTCGACAAGACCACGCGCTCGTTGTTGCTGGTGACGGCCTTTTACTAGATGTTTTGCTGTTGTCGTTGATGTTGTTGTCTCTTTGTGGGTGTTGTTGTCGGTTCTGAATTGTATCCGAAAGAGGTCGAACTTTGTCGTTCATGTTGGTGGTCTCGATCTGTGCGCATCATCTGCTACCAAAGACTCAATGGTTTGAACGTGTAGCTTTGTGGCGTGTACGCCTCTCCCGCCACCATCTCGGCGTTGCGATGATGCGATGACCCCACGATGCAGGTTGTAACCACTGCCATGGGCGTGTTCTCGCTGTACCTTTTGAGCTTACTCAAGTTCAAGATCGGCTACCCATGCCCCTGGTGTCTCACGTCGGTGAGTGAATCGGGCCGCGTGTGAGCGTAGATTTCCCATACCCCGGAGAGATGAAAGCGTGTGAATGGTGGCGCTTTCTGTGGGTGGGCTTTGTGCGTCCCATCCAACATGCGGAGCAGTGGAACGAAACGCGTGTCGCTGCGCTGATTGCAAATATGAAGTGCGTTTGTTTTTGTTTCCCGATACTGTACGTACGGTTGGCGACGCACAGGGGCCGTTCGGAAAATGGGCGTGAGGTCTGTGCGTTCAAGGTTTTGTTGTGAAGGGCCAAGCCCCCCCCCTTGGTCAGACCGGAACGTGCGTTGCTGTCGATATGGGCACGGTAGCGTCTTCAGGAAAATGCAAGCATGTGAACATCGACTAGGCACAAATGCAGGCATGGGAACGGGGCCGGTTAGTGCCGGTGCCCGGTATTGTGCGGGGTTATGCGTCTTGTGGAACTTTCGTTCAATCGAGGGAGTTGGCTTGTGCTCTGAGGAACCCTCGTGTTAGTTTCCTAACCTCAGAGATTCAAGACCGTCGGTTGACACTCCACACAGCTCTTCATTATGCAGGACTGACCTCGACGAGGCAGCCACATGCTCATTCGTCGAATTCACGCCGCATCCCTATTCATGAATGTCACACGTGAACCGACACTTACTTCTCCTTGTCGAACCAATCGTATATACGACCTTGTAAACTGCCGCATTAGTTCTGTCCTACTTTATTCCATAGTCTGGGGGCACAGACTGAATTACCAAGTTATGGTTTACTTCGAATAGTGCCGGTGTCCGGTATATTGCCGGTTAGTTCTCTGGGCACGTGCCGGCACTAGACAGCCCCCCACACTACTGTAGTTCATTTGCTTCTCTGTCCCTGTCTCTTTTCTCTGTGTGTCTCCCCCCCTCTCCCTGCGATGCCGCTAACGCGACTCCCTCCCTTCGTAGGCTGGGCTATCGCTCTCGATGTGCATCGTGGCGTGGACGAAAAGGGCCGTACCGGAGAAGACCAAGGCAGCGGTCGTGGGGGCCTGCACGACGCTCATCACCGCCTTCGCGTGCTTGGCTGTCTTCGTGGTCACCGAGACTGCTCTCGACATCCGACAGGTATTCGCCTATTTGCAGACAAGACGCAGGGAGAGACAGGAAATTTATGTATGCTGTACACCCATTTTGAGAGAGGGACAGAGAGACAGAGACAGAGAGAGAGAGAGAGAGAGAGAGAGAGAGAGAGAGAGAGAGAGAGAGAGAGAGAGAGAGAGAGAG